ACAATAAGAATATTATACATGAAGGGGATCTGTTGGAGATCAAATAAAATACAACATATATATATATATATATATATATATATATATATATATGGCTTCTCTTTTCTCATGTCACATGAGATATCATCTCTCATGTCATAGACACAATAAGTGGTGGGGCCCACCACTTATTAAAAAAGAAGAAAAAACTAAAAAGATAGCACGAATTTCGATGTCTCACAACATGAGAAAACTATCTCCTATTACATAAGAAAATGATTTCCCATATATATATATATATATATATATATATATATATATATATATATATATATATATAGAAAAACATTTCTCAAGCTTGAGATAAGTTTATCTCCGGCCATCCCAAAACTACATCGTTTTGATTATTTATTTCCTTATATTTATTGATTCACCTTTGAATGGTTATGATGCCCCTTTTCTCTCTCTTCTTTTATCACCATTGATCCATCTTTGTACGGTTATGATTTATTAGCCCGAGATAAGGAGATAAAGTTATCTCCGACAGCTTGAGAAATGATAAGCCCATATACATATACATATATATATATATATCTTATCTGATAAGTAAGTGACTTATAAATTAAAGAAAAAAATATACCAATAAATTTACTTAATGAAATGAATAAAATTCAGCATTCGAAGTCCCTTAATAGACACACATAAACACACACAAACATCTATTAAACTTATTAAATCAAAAATTAGCCATGGTTGAAAGTTGAAAGAATATTTGATAGGCTGCATAGGCTGTTGATGAATTTGGAGCCTTCTTGGATGCTCGAGTATTCTTAAGAGTCATAATGAGTTTTTGTCTCTCACCTTCAACCTCTGCAAATTGAAGACTTAATTGAGAGTAACGGTCATGCATCTCTTTCAATTCTGTTTCCATAGCAGAATGTCTTGCCTTCAGTTCTAACATATCCTTAATTAGCTCGTTGATGTCCCTGAAGCTTCGGAATACTGCTTCTTCGTCACTGTGTTGTCTTAAGAAAGAACTGGAACATAAGAGAAAAATTGTCTCAGACTTTGAGGTTGAATGGTCTCAATGCAATTTTTCATTAGATGCTCATGCACAGGGACGGATCCAGGAATTTGAAGAAGGGTAGGCACTCAAATGAGAAATGAGAAAAATAAATCAATAAAAAAAAAAGAGAAACCGACACTCAATATGCATAAACATGTATGTACCAAAAAAATGGAAATATTAGTCTGTTACAATTTGGCTACCTCACATATTGGTCACAGCCAAAATAAAGCAGAAACAGAAAGCAAAACGGAATGGAAATATATGTTGGGCTTCTGACCCTCAGCCCACTACAACAATTATTAATAGTGTTGACCTTACAAGCCCATAGGTCCCCTATTGCAAATTTGCAATTACCCACTGCCGACAGAAATTAGCCACTCAATGGAGCCACATAATCCTTCAGCCAACGTGTCCTTGTCCTCACCCTATTACCTCTTCGATGTTGATCGTTTCTTCCTTCTGCAGCACCGCTTGACCGCTTCATCTCATTGGAAGACCTCGCTATATCATTGGGAGGGTTCGCATCACTAGATCTGGTCACGGGTGGAGGAGAAAACGCGAAATTTTTTTTTTCCACAAAATTTAAGGGTGGACACTTGCCCCCTTCTCTTCTACTTGCATCCGCCTCTGACCATGCATGTGAGCATGTCAGTAAGTCAATCACAATAGAAACACTGGACATAACCAATGGCGGAACCCGAAAATTTTGTGAAGGGATCAAAATTGTAATTGTAATATTCATTTTAAGTTATTATTATAAAGAACTTTGGATATACCACCCCAAAAGCTAGCTCAAAGGGTGGGAGTGCCCAAGGCCTTATAAACTCCACATTAGTTGCTTATACCACCAATGTGAGACTATATATCTCAACACGCCCCCTCACACAAGAGCCCATTGGGCTTGAAGAGTGGATGATGCAACAGGCCCAACCTACCTGTGCTAAGAAATTCCTCAAGAGAAAGTAGAGGGCGGTGAGGATCGAACCTGGGACACAAGGCTCTGATACCATGTAAAGAATCTTGGGATACACCACCCCAAAAGCAAGCTCAAAGGGTGGGAGTGCCCAACCTTATAAACCCCACATTAGTTGCTCATACAACCAATGTGGGACTATATATCTCAACAATTATTATCTACATGAGCAAAACAACAGGGATTATGCTTATAATTAAAGACTTGTATGAAGTTGAAGAGGGTGATTGCTATTTGTATGACCAAAAACAACATAAATAACAGCTCACAACTGATCATTACTACCCGACGTTGTTGGGGTAGTAAGATGCCATCATAGGCTGCATCTGCATCAGGTGCTGCTGCATTTTTCATACACTCTTTATATTTATATATATATATATATATATATATATATATATATATATATATATATATATATATATATATATATATATATATAGGAACCTTTGACACCGGTGTCAAATTTTAAATTTGACACCATATCTGAGAGACATTAGATAAAAAAAGATCAACGACTCTGATTTGCAAGCATGTGCCACCATTGATCTTTTTTGATCTAATGGCTATCAGATGAAGTGTCAAATTTAAAATTTGACACTGGTGTCAAAGGATCCTGCCTCATATATATATATATATATATATATATATATATATATATATATATATATATATGAGGCGGGATCCTTTGACACCTCATCTTAGAACCGTTAGATCAAAAAAGATCGATGGTGTCATATGCTTACAAATCAGAGTCGTTGATCTTTTTTGATCTAACGGTTCTAAGATGAGGTGTCAAACTTTAAGTTTGACACTGGTGTCAAAGGATCCTGCCTCTCTCTCTATATATATATATATATATATATATATATATATATATATATATATATATATATATATATCTCACTTCACTTAGTCACCACTTAGCAAGTCTTTCTTTCTTTCTCTATCAAGATAGGGGAAACTTACAATAGCAGTAACCCCATTCAGAGGCAAAAAAATTAATTTTTTGCTTTTTTAATACAAAATTACAAATAAGTAGTCGTTTTGAAATTAATTACGAAAATATAGCAGTCAAACACGCCCCATAAGGGCGTGACCAGTTGGAGAGAGACACGCCCAATATTGGGCGTGACCGAGGAGAGAGACACGCCCAATGTTGGGCGTGTTTCACCAGGTGCTGCCACGTGGCACAAAAGCTAACAGTTTGACCGTAAAACTTTGGAAGTCCATAACTTTTGACCCGGGTATCCGAATTAGGTAATTTTTTTTTGAATCCACATAACTTTTCGAGATCTACATAATGACACCTCATTTGGCATATTTTGTCTCTCACAAAAAAAATTGAATTTACAATAATGATACCATAAGAACGTTTAAAAAAAAATTAATGGACAAAAAACCACTGTTATGATTAGAAACATTCATAATAAAGATCTTTATGATTATGGTAAGTTATGATAAGGTTAATTATGTATGTTATTGAGATATATATTAAAATTTTGAATGAAGAATTTTATGAAATTTATAATTAATAAAAGTTAACATCTGTCGGTGACAGAATATCGAATAATTTATATTAAAAAGTTAAGTGAGTGCTTTTCGTTTTATTTTGATTTTCAAGTTTTTGTTCATGATTATAAAAATGTTTAGATTATTTTTAGTAATAATTATAAGGTAACAAATTCATGACATTTTTAATAATTATGGTATCATTGTTGTAGTCCAGAGATGGAGCCGTTCTTTGACCCTTATGATGAAGGGGTAAGAAAGCTTGCAGTGTGGCTCAGAATCCCGAGTCTACCAATGGAGTTTTATACCATGCACCACTTATGGAAGATCGGGAATATGTTAGGGAGGACCTTAAAAGTGGACAAGACCTCGTTAAGGAGAGTGGAAGGAGTGGAAGGTGAGATCACGGATAAGGCCAGGTTTGCAAGAATTTGTGTTGAAGTATACCTGCGAAGGAGCTTCGTGTCGCGGTTTAGAATATGGGACTTCATACTGCAGGAATTTGTTTATCTAAACGTCGGATATGAGGGGCTACACCTCATATGCTTCGCCTGTGGGCGCTATGCCCACAAGAAGGATGCTTGTAACGGGGGACTTGACTATGTCAAAGAACCCTCTCCAGTTCCTGCGCAGAACAAGCCAGACCTGGGAAAAAATATGGAACATGGTGAAGCTTTAGGAGTCAAGGGAGCTGAGGCTGTTGTGATGGAGGAAGACAAAAAGAAAGAGGAAGCAGGGGCTTTTGGAGCGTGGATGGTTGTCAAGAGGAAGGGAAGGAAACCAGCTGTATAACAATGGAGAAAACCGGGAGGAAGGAGGTGGCAAGAGCTTCCTCGACCATGGCGAGCGACTCTCGAGGCGAGGGCAAAGCTGCCAGACTCAACCCCGACAGAAGTGCTTTAGCCCAGCAAAAAGAGACAAAACCAGTGTCTTAGAGGATTAGGGACCAGGGGGTAGGAGCGCAGATGAAACATGTTAACGTGAAAGACCTTATGTTGACTTCGGAAGAGAAACGCGACCACTTACCCCAGAAAGGAAAATCCTCGGATGATGCTAAGCCCAGGAAAGGAGTTGCAGCTTTGAGCATGCAAAAAGGAGAACAAAAGGGACATATATCCGTGTAGAATTAGAGCAGAGGCTGTCAAGAGATGCTAGGGGACGTGGGGCCCAACGAGGATACCAGGAGTATCAAAAATATTTCTGTAGCAGGATCCTCAGTGTACGTGTCGAATGATGAGGGGGAAAAAATGGAGGAACAGACACCTGTCCCTACAACAAAACCCCCACATGCAGCTGAATCAATGAGGAGATTGAGTCAATCAAAACATGAAGAGGCCCGAATGGCTGATGAAGAAGGAATCACTGGGAACCCTAGACCTGCATGATGGGTTCTCGTGTGGGTTCCTCCTTTTTTCTTCTCATCTGGTTTCCCATGAATGTCTGCACATGGAATTGTAGGGGTGCTATATGGTAAAGAAATATGATATCAAAGTTCTTGTCCTTACTGAGGTACGCATAAGTGGCATGGTGGCTGTCAGAAAGATTAAACAAATAGGGTTTAGTGATCACCTAAAGCAAGATGCTAATGGGTTTTCCGGGGGAATTTGGGTCATATGGAATAAGAATGAAGCTGAATTATCATTACTGGCTACTCACAAACAATTTATTCACGTCAAAATTAAGTGGGCTGTGAATAAAATGGTGGAGTTGGCTACCTTCGTTTATGGTAGTCCTAGGAGAGCTGGCAGACGTCTCCTCTGGGAAGAATTAAATAATATCAGCCTCAGTGTTAACAAACTGTGGATCGTGTTGGGGGACTTCAATGCGGTGAGCCAGCATCATGAAAAGAAAGGGGGCAACGACGCCTGTCAGGGAAGCATGAGGGAGTTCAACGATTGCCTTGCGAGCTGCGATCTCTCGGATATTGGCTTTAAGGGGTCGTCCTTTACTTGGAAGCGTGGCAGACTTTTGGAGCGGCTGGATCGGGTTGTGTCTAATACGGATTGGGTGGGTTCATGTCCTCAGAGGTTTATTCTTCACCTCCCCTTCCTGTGTTCTGACCACAGACCACTTCTATTATGGGAAGGGAAACGCCACAGCCAAGGGAGAGCAAACCGCACCTTCAAGTTCCTTGCATCTTGGCTTCATTGTGATGGGTTTGATGACTTAGTCAAACGGTGCTGGCCCGATGAGACCAAATGGGATGTAGGTAGCACGACTTTCCAACATGAGGCCACGTTGTGGAACGATACAACTTTCGAAGAGAGCATGTGACATAAATATCGACTGCTTGCTCGTCTGCAGGGTATCGATGCGGAGATCAACTTGAACCAGAGTAGTGCTCTTGAAGGCTTATATAATAGCATGTGGTCGGAGCTTAACAACATCTACAAAAGAGAGGAGCTCAACTGGTTCTAGCGCTCTAGGAATAATTGGATTGTGGACTGGGATAGTAACACCAGGTTCTATCATGCTTCGACTGTGGTGTGACACGAGATGTCAAATTCGCGCAAATTAAAAATTAATTTTATTTAGGGTTCAGAAAATTTGCAGTAAAGTGAAAAACCCTAAGTCGTCTCTCAAGGAGTTTGCAAGGAAATTAATCGCTCAATTATGAAAATAAAAATAAAAATAAAATGAAACCAGATGAAAACGGAAACTAAATGAAACAAGAACTAAATAAAAATGGGAATCAAATACAACGAAAATCAAATAAATATGGGAACTAAATAAAAGAGAAACTAAGGAGAAACGGAAACTAAAGAAAATTGGAAACTAAAAAGGGGAACTTAATATGATTGTCAATTTAAACGGAAATAAATAAAAAATATAAAATAACAAAAGAGAATAATCAAATTAAAAGCAACCAACCCAAGAATTAGGATTCCAAGGATATCCATCATTGGACAAATAATTACCAAATCGTGATTGATCTCAATTGAATCAGAATCCTTATTTTCAATTGAGAACCCTCTTTAAGCGATCGCTTAGCTTTTGGTCGAATACGGCGGCGCGTCTACTCGAGCAATCGCGGAGTATCAACCCGTTCGACTTGAGTTCATTGGGTTAATCAACCTAACCATTAAATCTAATGGTTAATCTCTTTCCTAAGAACGCAATCGCGTATCTCAGATTGAACAACACAATCGCGCGATGCTAAACCGAGTTGGAAAGAGAAACGTATTTGGTTCAAAATGAGGCGCAGGTCCTCAAGATTCAACCATGGAATCCTCAACCCTTGGGTTGATTAAAGAAAAGAGGAGAGAAAAGAGACGAAAATTCTATTAATTTCAAAACTGTATAATTCAAACTCAAACGAATGATTCTCCACAAGGCCCCTACTCTCGCCCTTTTAACCCCTAATCAAGCTGGGCTTCAGGCTCTACAAATCCAACCCAAAATAAAAGGAAACAAAACAGAAATAATGGCTCTGGGCCTCATGTACATTGGGTTCAAAATTATAACTTAAGTCCAAAGGTCAAAATAAATTTGCAACAAAACACGTCCATCTTGGGCTCAGGTTTAGACCATTTTCCCGTCCGAATTGGGCTTTAGTAGATGAAATAGCGATTGTAGCCCTGTCTATTAGCTGCAAAAAGAAACAATAATGGAGTCAATCTGATATCTGTAGAGTGAGATATGGTCAAAATACGAAAGTAGTATAAATCTGGAAAATTATGTCGAAAATCAATTAAACCCAATTAAAATCTAGAATTCTGATTTGACCCAAAAGACCTTTATTTAATTCAAATAAATCATAAAAATACCACCCAAGAGTAATAAATAAGTGTAACAAAATATGTGTTATCACGGTGCGGAGGAGAAACAACAAAATTCTGGCTCTAAAGTATGAGGAGGACCGATGGGTTACAGAACCAGACAACCAGAAAGTTATGGTTACAAGGTACTTTGAAAGGCTCTACACGGATGAAGGAGTTCAGATGGCCACATTCCCTTTTCAAGAGCGGTTTCCGAAAGTCACTAGCATATCTTTTTCCCATTTGAACTAGAGTCCCTCGGCGGAGGAGATTAGGAGCGTGCTGTTTACTATGAATGGGTTCAAGGCCCCAGGCCCTGATGGTCTCCATGCAGTTTTCTTCCATACTCAATGGTCTGTCACGGGGGATTCAGTTACTAAGCTTGTTCAGGAGATCTTTCAGAACCCGCGGCAAATTAGGCAGTTGAACAAGTCCCTTATCTTCCTGATACCGAAGGTAGATAACCTAGAATCCATTAAGCAACTTCGACCCATTAGCTTGTGCAATGTGATTTTTAAGGCTATATAAAAAATTCTTGCTAATAGGCTGAGACCTCATATGGACTCCCTTATCATGCCTAATTAGTGTAGTTTTATAAAGGAAAGGCATAGTACTGACAACATCATCATAGCTCAGGAGATCTTTCACTCCATGAAAATTAAAAAAAGAAAAGTGGGTTGGATGGCTATAAAAGTGGACCTCGAAAAGGCGTACGATAGAGTGAATTGGTGCTTCTTACGCCACACCCTTGAAGAAGCCGGTGTTCAAGAGGGAGCTATTGACCTGATTATGGAAAGAGTCACCACAGCTTCCATGAGCGTGTTATGGGAAGGTAACAGTACTGAGGATTTCATTCCAAGAAGAGGGATAAGACAGGGTGACCCCTTGTCTCCCTATTTGTTTGTACTTTGCATGGAGAGGTTAGCTCATCTGATTCTTGAGGCTACTGACACGAAGAGATGGAGACCAGTGAAATTAAGAAGGGATGACCCCCCTATAACCCATCTTTTTTTCGGCGATGACTTGTTACTCTTCGCTGAGGCTACCGTTGATCAGACGAAGCTTATCAAGGACATATTGAAGTGTTTTGGGGACTCATCTGGTTAAAAAATTAGCAAAGAAAAAACTAGGATCTATTTTTCCAGAAATGTGAACCACCATAGAGCTGGGGAGATTACTCAAGCCATGGATTTCTCCATTGCTTCGGATATAGGTAAGTACCTTGGGATACCTCTATTTAATGATAGAGTGGGACCCTCATCCTTTAAATATATCCTTGGGAGAATTGACAAGAGGCTCAGTAACTGGAAGAAAAACTTCCTGTCCTTTGCGAGGAGGTCCACCTTGGTTCAATCTGTTATATCAGCCACACCCTCTTACACCATGCAATCGTTCTACCTCCCTCCGGGTACTTGCGCTAGTATTGAGCGTAAGGCTAGAGACTTCCTATGGGGTTCCACCCCCAGTAAAAGGAAGGTGCATCTGGTGGCGTGGGAGAAAATCTGCCAACCCAAAAGGAATGGAGGCGTTGGGTTAAAAAGAATGAAAGAAACTAACAAGGCTTTCATTATGAAGTTGGGGCATGGCCTGCTCATGAAGAAGGAAGCTCGATGGGCTCAAGTCTTGAGGAACAAATATCAGGTTGAAGATAGGCTGATTCCCTCACTTAAATCATATGCGCAAGTATCCAACTTCTGGAGAGGTATTATGCAGATGTGGCCGAAAATTGTCCAAGGTTCTAGAGTGCAACTGGGATATGGTACAAATACCAGCTTCTGGAGGGACAACTGGCTTGCCAATAATACAAAGGTGCAGAATAAAGAAGGAGCATCTCTTCCGGAAGAGAGCGAGTCTTGGTCTGTCAATATGTTGGTTGATTTGGGTGGGAAGTGGAATTGGAGTATATTGAATCAGGTGGTGACCCCACAGACCTGTGACTTAATAGCTAATATCATGCCTCCTAGGCAAGATAACGGCTCTGACCTGGTTACATGGGGACTGACCAATGATGGTATTTTCACCATAAAATTTGCCTATGTGATGCTTACTGATGATGTTGGGGGCGTTGGTGTGGAGAATTGGGATGTGGGGTGGTCCTGGAAGGGGCCAAAAAAAATACAAGCTTTCCTCTGGATGGCCTATAAGAATGCTCTGCTGACCAATTCTAACCGCCTTGCGAGACACCTATCAAATATCAGTACTTGTCAAAGGTACAATGAGGCTAGCGAGGATATCCTACACGTGCTCAGGGATTGCAGCTGGAGTCGGGTGTTGTGGGCTGCTATTATGCTGTTGAACAAGACGAGGGAGTTTTTTAAATTGTCCCCTCCAGGTCTGGTTAGCTAACAACACTAAAAGCACTGAGGAAGTTCAGAATCACCAGTGATGGCGCTTATTTGGGGTGCTGTGCTGGCTTATCTGGAAAGCGAGGAACAACCTTGTGTTTTAAAATAAACCCTCCTATCAGCTCTCTATGATTCGAGGAGCGAGAGTTTTTGTGGATCACATTACAGAAGCGTACAATATGAGAGTTGCCCATGGCCTTCAGACGCGGTTAAAAGAGGAAAGGTTCATATGTTGGGAATTCCCAGAAGTAGGATGGTACAAAATCAATGTTGATGGGTCTAGTTGCAATGGTGGTTGGAAGTCGAGCTGTGGAGGAGTGCTCAAGAACGATTCTGGCAGGTGTTTCTATGGTTTCTGCCGTAATCTTGGAGCTGGATTTTCTACAAGGGCTAAGTTATGGGGCTTCCTAATGGGGATAGAGCTTGCATGGGATGCAGGGCCCAGGCAGCTGTGGATAGAAGGGGACTCCAAAGTGGCAGTGGACCTGATCAACAAAGGGTGTGGTTTGCAGCACCCCTTGGTCTCGATTGTCAACAGAATTCATCAGTTTTTAGGAAGGCAGTGGGTTACGAGGGTTAGCCATGTTTTTAGAGAAGGAAATATGGTTGCTGACAAGCTAGCAACAATGGGTCACTATTACCCAGATTGGGACCTGCATGAGCCCCCGCAAATGTGTAACGTCCTTTTGAGAAGGGATCTGATGGGGATTTTAAGCCCCGTAATTTGTAATGTTGTTTAATTAATTCCAATAGTTTTCAAAAAAAAAAAAAATTCATAAAGTTGTGCCACATTTTTCTTAAATGTGGTTAAATATTATGGTTACAAATTATTTTTCTTGTAGTGATATATATATAAAGTAATATAAAATGAAAAATATAATAAAAAATTATGAAGGTCTAAAACCTGCCGCAAACTATATTATTTATTGGAGGTTTCTTTGACCTACACTAAATAACCTCCACTAATCACCTATTTTTGTAGTGAGCAATTCATTTTTTATTTCTTCTACATTAATTGAGTTCATTATATACCAAGTATAAGAGTTACAAATCAATCATAAATCAAGCTACAAATCAATCATAAATCAAGCTACAAATTATAAATAATCAGGAAATTAAAACTCCTAAAATCTCTCGACATAATTCCTACAATCTCTCTATGTAACAGATT